CTCCCTCCCTCCCTCCCTCCCTCCCTAGCCCAGGAACTCATTTTCATAATGGAAAAAAAAAAATCACACAAAAAGAAGCACATCGTAAAATAAAATACAAGTTCCTGGGCCCCCACACCTCGAGGCAGCTTGCTGACACGGTTAATCTTTAGCTTTCCAGATGACATCTATGTCTGTTATTCCACACGGCAACATATTCACGCAGGGCACTAACCGGGTGTGAGCAGTGTGCCCACGCCTGGTCTACCTGGAGACACCCACAGGCCTTTGGAGGCCCCTACGGTTCTTGGAGCTGACAATTCCCTCTGGTCCCTTTGGAAATGGCCTCAGGCAAAGGCCGGAAAGAGGCAGCCCCCAATTCTCCTCCTCCACTATGGTTCTTTTCTGTTGGTTTCATTTACTTTTACCTCCCATCCATGCCTTAGTGCTCCTGTTTTTCCTATAGTTACTGGAAAAGCATGTTTTTTAGTTTAGGTTTTTGTTTTCCTGTAGTGATAATAGAAACAACACAAGTCTTACTAAGTGCTTTCTTTTTTTTTTTTTTTTTTTTTTTTTTTTTTTTTTTTTCCGGAACCGGGGTTTGAACTCAGGTCCTTGTGCTTGCCAGGGGAGCGCTTATTGCACTGAGCCATCTCCCCAGTCCTGCTTTCTTTTTTAAAATGTATTTAGTACAGGGTCTACAGGGTCTCACTACACAGATCCGACTCATAGTGATCCTCCTGTTTTTCAGCCTCCTGAGCACTGGGATTACAGGTGCTTACCACCATGCCGAGTCTCAATTGCTGCCTCAGCATGCCCCAGCGGTGGGGCTGGCAAGGCAGGCCCAGGATCAAACCCCCAGCCCCTGCATCTGCCTAAGCAGGCACTTTAATCCGCTGAGCTATCTGGCCAGTCCTAAGTGGTTTTTTTTTAAAAAAAATATAGATAGATAGATAGATAGATAGATAGATAGATAGAGTTTTGTTCTGTTACTGCTGTAATTAATTTTTTTGTTTATTTTTGAGGCAGATCTTACTATGTATTAGTTCACGTTGGCCTTGAACCTACTGTGTATCCCAGGTGACCCTCACACTCACAGCAGTCCTCCTCCATCAGCCTTCTGAGTATTGGAATATGTATGCTACCATATCCAGGTGTAATTAATCTTAATTTTTTTTTCTTCTGGGTTTGAACCCAGTGCTCTCACACTGAACTACATCCTCAGCCCTTTATTTTATTGTATTATTATTTTTTAATGTATTTGATACAGGGCTTTCCCACACAGCTCAGACTCATAGTGATCCTTCTGTTTTCAGCCTCCACAGTACTGGGATCACAGGCATGTGCCACCATTCCTGGTTTTGGTGGCCGGCTCAGCACGGCATGTGGTACTGGAGATCAAACCCCAGTCCCTATGCTTGCCTAAGTAGGTGCTTAGACCACTGAGCTATCCTCTGCGGCCCCCTTATAAAAATTTTTGTATCTTGCTAAGTCACTTCATTCCCCAGCTGGCCTTGAGTTTGTGATCTGCCTGCCAGAGTGCTGGGATTATGGTATGCTTCTTCTTTTGCTATTAATCTCATTCTATGGATGAGGAAATTGAGGTGAAAGGGAGAACCTGAGACTTAATCTAAATCTGTCTTACCTGAATATTAGAGTTAACTTGGGACACTGTGTTGCCTCCAGGTCACCTTTGCCCTACCAGTAGCCAGGGCTGCTTTCACAGTTGGAATGCACACCATTTACGAGGCCATAGAATGGATAGTTGACTCCACTCCTTTATGGCTGTAGTCTTTCAGCCATCCTCTTTTGTTTCTTGCTCCTGGGTTAATCATTCCAGCTGCCAACAGCAAGGTTGTCCCCTTCTTTGGAGGTAAACCTAGTCTAGGCCTTTATTTTCAATCCTGGTTTCTTCTGAGAGACCCTTACTTGCAATACTTTGTTTTAAATTTCAAGTAAATGTCTTAGGCAACCCAAATATTTCTATTTCTGTCTGCCCTTTTACTTATGAGCTCCTTAGGAGCTGGAACTGAGGGGGGTTCATTTTTGTGTCCTCAGAGTCAAATGGACCCTGAGTAAATGTAGACTGAATGAATCAATCAATGCCTCTGGCTAGTTATTGATTATCCCAGCCAGATATTTGAAGATCACTGCAGTGACTTTTTCAGAAATACTGATTTGGGATAAAGATTGTCAGTCTGAGTAGCCAGAAAAACAGCTTATACTCATCCAAACCTATGTACATAACTTATACATGATCCAAAGCTATGTACCTCAAGGATCTTCTCAGACCAACACCATGGAGCCTAAGAATGGCAGCTAAATACCTGTAGTCAAAGCAACAGGGCCTTTACCAGAAAACCTGAGGCTATATAGGCTGGCCTTGAACCTCTCTATTTTTCAGTGACATAGTTTTTCTAGTGCAAAGAAGATTCTTTTGGTCCCACTATTCAGTTCAGGCTGGCCTTGAGCTCACTTTGTAGCCTAGGCTGGTCTCAAACTTGCAATGATCCTCCTTGTCTCAGCCTCTTGAGTGCTGGGATTACAAGCATACCCCACCACACCCAGCTAGAAGTCCTTTTATTTTATTTTTTAATTTTTTTGGCAGAACCAGGGACTGAACTCAGGCCCTTGTGCTTGCCAGGCAAGCGCTTATTCTACTGAGCTATCTCCCCAAACACAAAGTAGCTTTTTTTTTTTTTTTTTTTGTAGAACCGGGGATTGAACTCAGGCCCTTGCGCTTGCCAGGCAAGTGCTTATTCCACTGAGCCATCTCCCTGGCCCTAGAAGTCCTTTTAAACTGCTTAACTGTAACAGTAATTAGTGCATAATTTTGTATCTTAAAATATAAAGAATATGTTCATGGATTTTATATGTATATGTAAAGAAAATTTAAAAATATGGCTTTAAAATGAGCGGTTTAAAAAATGAGTGATTTTCTATGGTTGATACTGATGTGAAAATGCAAATCGAAATGAATTGTACAATAAGATACTATGTCTGTTTATTTGCAATTTAATCACTTGTAATTTTCAACTAAACTATCTTGTGTTAATGTAGAGACTTCATTTCTACTCTAATAGTTCTCATTCTACTACTCTAAAGATGACATTATCATTAGATTTTTAATATTATACTGTACAAACAAATAGGTAATAGAGTGGACTGTGAGTTGGACTGCTAAGGTCCTAATCTCAGCTCTGCATTATTATTTGTGACTCTGCCCTTGATTTCCCTGTAACTGTTTCATGAGTTAATAATTTTAGAAGTCTTACAACAGTACCTGGCACATTGAAAGTGCTATTTTAAGATCAACAGTAAAATTAGAAACCCCCCACCTTTTCCATTAATATTGAGGGAAGTCCAGTTCTTGGAAGGTGTCCCTGGAACTCCACAGCTCTAGCGTCAAGAGAAGTGTGGTGTGCTCATTTATTCAATAGTTCGATTACCTAAACTGTGGCAAAACTGACCACCAGACATAGCTTCTGCCCTTCAGTGTTTACAGCTGGATTAGAAGTCAGAACTCCAACGTATTTTTTCAGATGAGTCAGCTGAGGCCAGCGAAGTTGTGCTCTGCTCCAGGTCACACAGCTAACCAGCTGCAGGCCTGGGGCTAGGGCTAGTCACTTCTAGACTCTTTCCAGTGGGCAGTTTTCAGAGCCACTCTTTCCGGTGGGCACCCACTTTGAGTGCCACCGCTCACCAATTTGACTTCACTTAGCTCTCCGGACATTTCTGTCTTTGCCCCCATTGGGACTCTCCTTCCACATTTGGAGCCAAGGTTTAAGAAAACAGCCCTAAAGACAAGTCACAGACTGGGCGTTTTGAATCTTTAAGAAAAGTAGATGTTAAGTGTTTTCCTCCCAGCGTTAACCCTCCGCATGCCAGAAAGGTTGAGGACATTAAAAATAAATAAGTAAAAAGGCTAGGTGGCCTCACTAGGGACCAAAAGGATGATGGAGTCCCCGCCCCCTGGTGCAGCAGCGAACACAGATCTAGAGCCACCTGTCAGAGGGCTGTGGGCGGGGGCGAAGCGGAGAGGCTCGCAGAACCAGCAGGGAGCTCACGGTCCAAGCTGCCAGCCTGACACCACTAGCCAGGTGGCATGGGATAGTGTAAGACTCTGGCAGCTGACGGCAAGGGAGGGAAAGGTGACCGGTCACGGAGGCTAGGCCGAGCAACGGAGGTGGAGGATCCTAGAGGTGACAGCAAGGAGAGTACGCAGCAGCAAGAGGCCACTGCTGGGCGGGCCCGGAGACTTCGCCGCCGACGCAGGGCAGGCGGAGAGAGGAAGGGCGGGCCGCACCAGGCCGGAGGTGCCATGTCCCGCGAGCGGCCGCCCCGCACTGACATCCCCCGCAACCTGAGCTTCATAGCTGCGCTGACTGAGCGCGCCTACTACCGCAGCCAGCGGCCCAGCCTCGAGGAGGAGCCGAAGGAGGAGCCAGGCGAGGGCGGGCCGCGGCTCGGGGCCCGGTCCCGTGCTCACGCTCCAAGTCGGGGCCGCCGGGCCCGCTCTGCGCCCGCCGGAGGCGGCAGCGCCCGGGTACCCCGCAGCCATAGTCCCGACACCCGCAAGAGAGTGCGTTTCGCCGACGCTCTGGGGCTGGAGCTGGCCGCCGTGCGCCGCTTCCGCCCCGGAGAGCTGCCCCGAGTGCCCCGCCACGTGCAGGTGCAGCTGCAGCGGGACGCCCTCCGCCACTTCGCGCCGTGCCAGCCCCCCGCCCGCAGCCTCCAGGTAGGCGGCAGGGCGCGCCCCGCCCCGAAGCCCCTCCTCGCCGGGGCCACCCGTTCTTCCCCTTGCCGGGACTTGCACCTGCCCAACCCTGTCGGTGCCCTCGCGCGAAATTGCGATAGGCCAGTCTTAAACTGCGCCTCACTCTGCAGGCCCGGCGCCGGTTTGGCATCTGATTGGCCCAGGGCCTCGCGTTGACCCCGCCCCTTGTCCCCCCCCCCCGTTTCCTTTCTTCCCGCTCCTCTTTTCCCAGGAGGCGCGCGCAGCCCTGGAGCCGGCCTGCGAGCCCGGCTTCGCCGCCCGCTTGCAGGCTCAGCGCATCTGCCTGGAACGCGCCGAGGCGGGCCCGCTGGGTGTAGCCGGGAGCGCGCGCGTGCTGGACCTGGCTTACGAGAAGCGCGTGAGTGTGCGCTGGAGCGCAGACGGCTGGCGGAGCCAGCGCGAGGCGCTCGCTGCCTACGCCGGTCCGGCCCCGCCCCCGCCGCGCGCAGACCGCTTCGCCTTCCGCCTGCCCGCGCCGCCGGTTGGGGGCGCCCTGCTCTTCGCCCTGCGCTACCGCGTGACGGGTCACGAGTTCTGGGACAACAACGGCGGCCGTGACTATGCTCTACGTGGCCCAGAGCACCCGGGCGGTGGCGGAGCTCCGGAGTCCCAGGGCTGGATCCACTTTATTTAAGATGAGGCAGCTGCAGCCCACTGCGGGGGAGGAATACCCGAGGCCCCAGGATGCACGCGGAAGCAGAGACTGGCGGGCGGCTGTCCTGGGGAGTCCGGCGGGGGAGGGCGAGGAGGGGGAGGGGCGTCTGTGGCGCTGGGAGCGGAGCACCCCGTCGGGCGTGAGTGGCGTGAACCCGTGGCAACGGGGCGGGGCGACCGGAAGGGTCGCTGGAAGGATTGGAAGACAGCTGAGAAGCGAGGACAGTGGTCTTCTCAGACGTGCCACTGTGTAGTGAGGTTAAGTGACCTCTTTGGAATTGAGCACTTCTGGACCGGGGAGGTTTGACACGTGTAGTCCTCCCCAGTTAAGTCCTTTAGGCTGTTGGTTCCCCCCCCCCCCCCCCGTTTCATCGGCCACTTCAGTTCCCTCAGTCCTGCCCGTCCTAGCTTTATTAGAACCATCATTGCCTTGCTTCCTCCCAAAACTTGGCCCTTGCTCCCTGGGCATTATGACAGGATTCTTTGTCACTGGACAGTTTTGGATTTCAGTCATGACAGACTTGAGAGGGAGTGATGTTAGGGAATAGAGCTTCCTCCAGCCTCCTGGCAGTGATAGAGATTACAATGGAGGCAAAAGCAACTCCAGGTCTATCCTTGTAGCCAAACTATGGGACATCCAAGGAGTTGGTACACTCAGGGGCTTCCAGAAAAAAAAAATGCCAGCCTTACTTTTCTGGGTGCCTTCTAATAATCTTTAAGCACTTTATGGATTGTGTTTGTCAAGGGACCATGAACACAAGAACTATCTGGACTTATGCCTGCTGCCTAAAGAAAAGGAAGTCACTGACTAGTTGTATGACTGAGCAAATTGCTTCAATTCTTTGGACCCCAGTTACCTGCGTGAGGAAACTAAATTTGAGGGGCTGGTGAGATGGCTCAGTGGTCTAAAGCACCTACTTAAAACAAGCTCAGCAAAGCACAGGGACCACGGTTCAATCCCCCAGCACCACATGCCAACCAGCCCCGCCCCCTGGTGGGCTGAGCTGGCCACACACACACACACACACACACACACATTAAAAAAAAAAAAGAAACTAAATTTGAATTAGGTGATCACTTAAGGCTGCTTTTTTGACATTTATAATCTGTGCAGAGCATAGTGTAGGTTAGAATCTCCAGCTTTGTGCTGCAGTCCAGAAGAGTCCTGAACGTGTGATGGGGCGGAGGATGGGCTCTGTAGTTTTAGGCACAGATATTCCAGAGCCCAGGAAATGTCCCACAGCCAGTCTGCAGCCTCAGGATATTCCAGAACCTTTTCCAGACCAGGGCTCATCCTCTGTCCCTTGATTTTTGCTGTTGCCTCCGCAGGCTTCCAGACTTGGTGCTCTTGAGACACCTTTGGGGAAAATGATGCTCAGCTCCAAAACGAAACAATGTGGGCGTCTCTTTAGACCATAAAAGGTGTAAGTAAAAATGAGTGGAAAACATCAAGCATGAGAGCAACTTGAAACTGGGAGGTGGGTACCAGGAATCAAACTCAGGACTTTGTGCTTGCCAGGCAAGCCCAGCAGCTTGAAATTTGAATGGTGTCAGAACATGGCAGTATCATGCATTTCCTGAACAAGTGAAAAGGGAATGCTATTTATTTACATTCATGCTTGCAGTGTCTTCTCTTGATTAATTTTAATACAGAAGACATTTCTTTGCTGGTTGCTTGTTTTTCCTTTTATTTTACTCTAAATTAACCTTTCTTTCATTGTTATCATTATCACTTTTTTCATTGAACATGTAGGGTATTTGGGTTTTTTTCCTCCTTTTCCTTGTCATCCTTGTTGATTTCTGCTCCTCCACCCTCCTATTCTCCAAGACCACCTTCCTCCCTCAGGCTCCTTGCCACTCTTCTAAAGGAGCAAGGGGATGAGAAGCAGTTCCGGATGTTCCGGATGAACCACTAGGGGCTCCAGGTAACTTGCACCCTGAACCTTTTCTCTGTTACTGATTTCTCAAAAGATTTCTGTCACCTTGTCACTATGTGTCAGGGTTCACACACGTACATGCATTTAGAATGGAGGATAGGGCTTGTTATCATGTGTTTCCTGTCCACAGCCTTAATCCTTTGAAGAAAGCTGAGAAGACCTCTGGGTGATTCCACAAAGAAATTTAAAACATCATGCTTAGCTTTTACCATGGATCATGCCTGTACTCTCAGATCTTGGGAGGCTGAAACAGGAAGACTGTAAGTTGAAATATAGCCTGGGCAACTCAGTGATCTAGTGAGACACTGACTTAAATGAAAGACTAAGGATGTAGCTCAGTATGAAGGCTCTGGGTGTAATTCCCAGTACCACAAAAGAAAAAAGTCATCTTGTAATGAAAACAATTTCATGTATCTTGTGGATCAGCTTTAGGTCTGAGTTCCAGCAAAGTGAAAAGAAACTACTGGGCATTGCACTATTTAGGCATCAATGAGAAACCCAGGAAGACTGGGTCAAGGTTCAGTATGTAATAATGTCTTGCCTTATGTGCTTTTGTTTTGTCATATTAACAATGGAAATAGCTCACATTTACTAATATATATCTGCTAAACATGTTTTGTATGCATGTTCAAAACCTTATGAGTTAAGCATTGTTATTCCTATTTTAGATATAAGTCCTAGAGAAGGTCAGTAATTTGTTCAAGATCACATAGCAAGTACATTGCAGAGCTATATAATCCAGTAATCCAAAGCCCATTATGGCTTGGTCATAATGTTATTTATTTTTAGAAACAGTGAAGGTAGAATAAGCACTTGCCTGGCAAGTGCAGGGGCCCAAGTTCAATCCCCAGTTCCGCCAAAAAAAAAAAAAAAAAAAAGAAAGTGAGGAAGCTGGGGATGATTGCAAATTTAAACTTAGGTGGGGTAATTTAGGGACTTAGTAAAACCTTGCTGAAAAAAAAAAGTGATGCAGGATGTAGCTCCAAATGAAGGCCATGGGTTTAATCTGTAAGGCCATAAGGGAAAACAAAAACAAAACCCAACCAACAACCAGCCTGAGAATCATACCTCACACATTCAGAACCGTGGTTTTTCATGGCAAGAAATAACATCAAAAATGTTTCATTATTTTTGCTACTAGTTTCTACCCACTTTCCCTTCCAGACATAGAGAGGAACAAAGGAACTGATAGTTTTCTGTCTCCAGTCTTGGGATTTCTTTTGATGCTGCTACTAAAGAGTACTGACCTTGCTATAAAGACTGAACAATCCACCTCTTGAATAGGTAACCGAGGGAAGAAATTAAAGTTTGTTACATGGATCCCCAAACCACTGCTCTTGCTAGGCCCTTCCAGAGCGTCCCTAACCCTTCCCAGTGCAGTCCTGCCTGGGCCCTGAGCCTCTAGCCTGTCTAATACTGTGCCTCACCTCAAATTCCTCATGCGGCTGCCTTCCCTTATGGGTATGAAACCTCATGTTTGAAATAAAGTTGAAATTGAAAATACAAAGCATTCAGAACAATTCTTTCTTTTGGGCCAAAGGCTACAAAACATCCAGGGCTACAAAACATCCAGGGCAAGATTCTCTGAATCCCTTTTTGCATTTATTGGTCTTTCCATTTCTTAAAAGTCCTATTCTCTCTGGGTATGATGGCAAGTACCTATAATCCTAGCACTCGGAGACCAAGATAGGAAGATCATAAATTCAAACCCAGCCTGGGTAATATCGCAAGGCCTTATCTCAAAAATTTTCAAAAAGGCCTAGGGATATAGCTCAGTGCAGACTTGAATTCAATGCCCAGTTCAACAGGAATTACATTTCTGTTCTGCTGGAGTCCTTTAGCTACATAAAAAGTTCCATGGGAAGGAGATACAGAGGAGCTGGATAGCCCTGGTACAAGACACCTCTTCAGAGTCTTCCTGCTCTGGGGAAGTGGACACCTCTGGAGTTCCCGACACCCAACACTGGCTGTAGTTCAATGAAGGGCAACAGTTTAAGCAAAGCCCTGTTTCCTCTTGTGAGAGGGACTTTTTTTTCTTAGCAGACCATCTTAATTACATTTTGCTCCTTAACCACTAGAGAAGCAGGGCCCCTTGCTTATCCAGGGCAAAACAAAGGGTGAGAAATACGAAGAAAAACAAGGATCTCTGTTAAAGCTGAGATGAAGCAGTGGGAATAAATAATACAGGGAAGTTCTTGAAAAAGATTCGAGTTCTGACAGGACTGACTCCCAAATCACCTGAATGATGAAAAAATCAAATCCACTGTAGTGAGACATTCCTAATTGGGGGAGCCCTAGGGGCAGCAAAATCCAATGCCTCTTTGCTACATCATAATGGCCATTGTGATGTCACTGGAGAGCACTTGCCCTTCAGTGAGTCAGCTGTGCCAAAGGGCAGAGTCAGCATGAGGAGCAGACACGCAAGGAGAGGTAAGTGGGGGCTTCCGAGGGGTTGATGCTTACTGCCAGGGGGCTCTATGACCTTTCCAGATTTTTCACATCCTAGTTTGGTGTTGGGTTTGTCTGAACTCATTCTTTTATAGATACTGTCAGTGCAGCTTTTGCTACCCCATATCCACTCCAGATTCTCAATACTTATATCCTAACTCAGCCCTCCAGCTCCCTCCAGCTCTGATATTTCTTAGAAGATAGGGCACAGAGTGCTTGACCAGGATTTTCCTGAAGGGAACAAAACTGACCATGTTCACCTCGCTAGTCCCAAGAGTATATCCAGGTTTTGAGATGCCTGCAGGGGTTTGGGACCCCTTTTAAGAAAATAGAAGCATAAGATTTGGTACAAAAGTGAGTATTTTTAGAATAAAAAAAAGGTTTTTTTGTTTTGTTTTGTTTTGTTTTTTTACTAGAGATGGGACTCAGATCTTGTGCTTGCAGGCAGATACTGACACCACTGAGCTATTTCCCCAGCCCAAGAGTTAAAAAAAAAGAAAGAAAGAAAAACCACAAGAAGTTATCCACCTGGAAAACATACAATTTTTCTATTCTTTTTGATGCTCTTTAACCTTTTCACAGTGCATGATTCTGTAAATGGCTACATTCTATGTCTATCTGTATCCTGTACAGTAAGCTATATTTCTAACTCTTTAAAAATTTTGAAACAGGGACAAGCATGGTGGCATATGCCTCCTAGCACTCTGGAGGCTGAGACAGGAGGATCACTTCGTGTTTGAGGCCAGCCTGGACTACATAATGAGCCTAAATTACACAATGAGAACAGGTCTTCCAGAAATAATTTTGGGCTGGGGCTGGGGAGATGGCTCAGTGGAATAAGTGCTTGCCTGGCAAGCGCAAGGACCTGAGTTCAATCCCTGGTTCTACCAACAAAACAAAAAACAAAAAAAGAATTTTGGGGGCTGGGGTATAGCTCAGTGGCATAAGTATCTTACTGGCAAGTACAAGGTCCTCAGTTAAAAAAAAAAAACAAAAAACTGAAGACAAGTTCTTTCTAGGGTATTAAGCAGCTTGGCCTTGAACTTATATTTCTCCTGCCTCAACCTCTTGAGTAGTTGGAATTAACAGGTGTGTGCCATTGTGATGGTTTATATATTCTTTTTTTTTTTTTTTTTTTTTTTTTAGGGAAGGGTATACAGGGTGTTCAGAGTCTCACTACTAGATCAGACTTGTAGTGATTCTCCTGTTTACAGCCTCCCAAGTGCTGGGATTACAGGTGCGCCATCATGCCCAGTCTCATTCTCCATCTCAGTGCACTCCAAGGGTGGGGCCAGCTCGGCAGGCCTGGGGTTTGAACCCCAGCCCCTGCACCTGCTGCAGGCACTTTACTCCTGAGCTATCTGGCTGGCCCTATATATTCTTTTCTATACAGAATAAGAAAGGTGGCTGGAGGTAATATACATTTGTAAACTCAGCCAGTACTCTAAAAGGCTAAGACAGGAGACCAAAAGTTCAAACCTAGGGCCCAGGAGATAGCTCAGCGGTCTAAGTGCCTGCCGGCTAAGCCTAAGATCCCAGGTTCAATCCCCAATATCATATGCTGCACCTGCCCCTTGCCATGCAGGCCACCAAAATCAGGCTTGCTGGCCCACACCTGTAATCTCAACACTGGGGAGGCTGAGAAAGGAAGATCACTATGAGTCTGAGCTGTGTAGTGAGACTACCAAATAAATAAATAAATCTTAAAAAGAAAAAGTTCAAAGCCTGGGCAATTGAATGACTTAAATCCTATCTAAACAGGTAAAAAAAAAAAAATAGGGGCTGGGGATTATAGAACAAAGGCCTTGGGTTCAATCTCCACTATGGGGCAGGAGGGGAGTTAGTCTAGCATAATGAAAATTTTAAATCCCTTGATAATTCTAAAAATATATTCATACTTTATTATTATACTATAAAAACGTTTACAATTTTTGTCAAACTTGGGGAAATACCTTAAATTTCTTTCATATATTTGATGTAGGATTTTGGAGCACTTCAAATTTGGGAAGACTTGAAAGCATATTATATATACATATATATATGTATATATATAATTTTTCTAGGGCTACCATAACAAAATGGCACAGTGGCTTAAACTATAGACAAGTTCTCAGTTCTGGATATTAAAAGTTCAAAATCAAGGGATTGACTTCATTTTGAGGGTTTTCTGCTTGGCTTGGAGATAGATAGCTGTCTGTCTTACCATAGTTTTTCCTCTGTGAATGCCCAGCTATGTCTAAATTTCTTATATAAGGACACCAATCCTACTGTGTTAAAACCCACTGTAAAAGGGGCCTGGCCCTAGCTCAGTCCTTTAAGTGGCTGCTTCCACAAAGCTGTCAGCTTCAGGTTCCTGGAGTTCGAACCTCACAACTCTCCCGCTGGCCAAAAAGTGCCCCGAAGGCATTTGAGGAAGAAAAAACAAACAAACAAACAAACAAACAAACAAAAAACCCTTATTCCATTTAATAAGCTTTTCTTCTGGATGGTTAACAACCTAAGTTTGCAGACCAAAATTAGAGAAAAAGGAGGGATACAAGGAAAGCCAACATTTTGGCCCTAGCCTTCTAAGGTCAATTAAGACTCAGGACATATGAGAACTTGTACTGTAACGTCATGTACCTCGGTAGTGTCCCAAATTTTCTGATCAAGAAGATTATGGGGCCAAAGAGGAAAGTGATCGATGACATAGAGTGGGCCTAAGGAGAGTCACATGGGGAGAAGATACTCTCTCAGGCTTTCACAGAGAGCACATTGGCCAAGCACTGGCCGTGACTCATCCACATGGCTGCACTGATAAAGGTTCTACAATCTGAGGTACAGGATCTCAGGACAAATCCTGAGGGCGTTTCACTGACCTTCTCAGACCAAAAAGCTACAACTCTTGTTGCATAGGTCCTGCTTTACCTTGGTCTTAACCATCCAGCAGAAAAGTATGAAGACGAAATTATAAGAAATAAAGCCATGCTGTTAAGTTGAGCTGTGGGGGACTCAGGTCAATAATTTCTGACATTGCCAGTTAAACAGAAGACCCAATGCTATTATGGGCTACTGGACTCTTTTAGAATATTTTGCTGAGTTTACACACCTATAATATTCAATAACGGAACTTAGAAAAAATGGGGTATACAGATGAATGTCCATTTTGTATCTGTGTATTCAAAGTGGTTGGGATAGATATATAGTTACATTCTGTTAATGAATAGAATGATTTGTTCTAATGGTGTTTGTAAATAGGATCACAAGTCCACATCTTGTACAGCAATTAACCACTAAGAAGAATATATGCAGTGTATTATTTGTTGGAAAAAAAAAGTACAATGAAAAAAAAAAGATTGAGAAAAAAAACCCACTGTAAAGACATTCTTTTAATTTAAATTACTTTTTTTAAATTACTTTTTTAAAGTCTTCAAATGTTTACACTTTGAGATACTGAGGGTTAGTACTACTATTATGAGTTTGGAGGGAAACATCAGTCCATATCACTATATTGACATGAGGATAATTTATTCACAGAAGTGATTGTGAGCCCATAAATATACCTACTCGAACCTGGACTATAAAGACATCCCCATTGCAGTTTCCCAAAAATGTACATGGCCTCTCACTGCCAACTGACAGAAGGGGAAATGTGGAGGGCAAATCAGAAAGGAAAGGTAGATCAAATTTTTCCCAATTACACTTAGATATGTACTTCAAGTTTTATAAAAACTTGGACCTCCAATGCCTTTGGAAGAGATCTGTGCGAGGGAGGCCCTGAAACTTCAGATGCTTTTGGACTAGGTCAGAAGTCGCCCACTTCTCTCCCCTTTTTGCTCTGGACTTTTTTGATTCCCTATTCTAACTGGGGAGGGCGAAGAGGTGTGTAGGGAGGAGACGTCTGGGCTGGGAAGCTTGGCTAAAGAATGGTTAAGATTCTTCTTTACCCTGAGCTAGATCCCCAGTCCTTTTAGTTCTTTATCTTTATTTTGAGATGGAACCTAAGTCACTAATTGCCTAGGAGCGGCTTGAATTTATGATCCTCTTGATTCCTAGAGTACTGGGTTTACAGGTGTGTGCCACCAGTCCGGCTAGGTTTCTAACCTTAAAGCTAAGTGTCTGCTGTCTAAGCCTGAGGTTTCTGCCATATATTAGTTTGAAGGACGGGGGGCGGGGGGACAGGGGGAGACAGCTCTCAGAAGTTGAGACTGTTACTAAATGGGAGGAGGGTGGGGAAAGGAGGAAAGGACCAGGAGAGGGGTGGCGGGGAGGGACAAATAAGCAGCCAGCGACAGAAAATAAGACTTAGCACGGAGGCAGAGTTAACATGTCTGGTAACCCTGGAAGAGCTCTGGCCGGTGGAATGAAGCAATCAAGAGTGAAAAGGGGTTCTGTGGGTGGTTTCTTGGAATGTGTAAGGAGGGAGAAGTGCTGAGTTCTGCGAGTAAGGGGGGAACCTGAAAATGACCTATTTAGGCAAGATGAAGTCTTCAAAGACTAGCGTGAGACCAAAAGGGTCATTTCTGAAAGTATCGTTCCCAAGTTTCAATAAGAAGACGGGGAGTCCTAAATATACAATTTTGACCTAGATCTTCATATAGTGTGAGATAATACTCCCCAATGAAAAAGAATACCAAGGTCTCCAAGTATGTTACAGTTCCAGGTCCTCTTTAATAGGGCGAGGAGAGAGCCAACATTTCGTCCTCGGGGACACCTGTCTAGTGAAGGCTCCAGGCTCCTAAGATCCTAGTCCTTCCGGGTGGCAAGACATATCTATCTTCAAACGAGTTCGCAGTTGCATTAGACGCTTCCTTACTGCTGACGCTGCTAGGAGCGGTTGAGCTCAGAGCTGTGGGAAGGCGCGGTTCATATGTAAGGCTGGGGAGCGGCTATTAAAAAGGTCTTCGCGGAGGAGGCAATGAGGCAGTTGCTGGGGCCTAGACAGTTCACCAAAGGAGAAATTTCGAGGAGAACGCAGACCGGTGTACTCCGAAGGTCCGGCACCAACAGTTCCAGGGTATGGGGAGGTACCATTCACAGCACCCTAGCCTCGGGGGACATCTTCCCCGCTCCACGCGCCCAATAGCTGACCCACGTTGAGGATCACGCAGCCAATTGCCGGCTTCTGCCAAGACCCACACAGCCAATGGTAGACCCAGTGCGCTGCGCCCGTGTCCGCCCGACTACATTCACCAATCAGGATGTGGGCCACCTTAGCACCGCCCCTGGGCGTCCGCCCCACCGGTCCGCCCCGCCACCAACTCTCGGAGCCAGGAGGGCTGGGCAAGATCCGCGCGCTCTCGGGGGCGGGCGGCTGGGGGGGGCAGTCGCGGTCCTGGGCCGCCGTGCGGGTGGGCTCGGAGCAGGCCACCTTACAGCACCCCACACCCACCTGGAGTCCCTGCCCTCTTTCCCTCCCCCCTCCCCAGCCCCTGGTGCGAGGCTGGGAGCCGCCGCCCGGGCCGGACCGCGGTGAGTGATCCCAGCCCCTTGGACTTCCCCTCCCAGCCGGTGTGCACTCTCCGACCTCCGGAGCCCCATCCCCGACCGGCCTGGAGCGGGGGGGTGGGGTGGAGAATACCATACTGGACTAGGTCCGAAGTCGCCCAGTTCTCTCCTCTTTTTGCTCCGGACTTTTTTGATTCCGTTCTAAATGGGGGAGGGCGAAGGGGTGTGTAGGGAGGAGGAGACGTCTGGGTTGGGACGCCCTTGGCTAAGGAATGGTTGAGATTCGCCTGCCTCGTGGGGCTTACCGCCCCCAAGTGCAGCAACTTTTTGTTCTCTGACCCAGTTCGGAGCCTTCTTGACTGCCTGTGAAATGGAGGATAGGAGAAACGTTTCCTTCGCAGGCCTTTCCCCTCCTCTTATCCCCATGACTACCTCCAGGCGACCATAACACACATACAGAACCTGACTTTACATCTGGGGAGCTTTGGGAATGAAAGGTTTAGAAGAAACTGCCCCTCTGACTCCTGTGCCCAGCGTAGTCAAAGGACCAGACCAGGAAACAGTTCGAATCGAACCGTCGGAGTTCCTGGTGTTGCGTCCTAATCTGAGACTTCTAAACTGAAAGAAGACTCAAGCTGAGACCTGTTTGGTAATGTTGGCCCAGATCAGGAGATCTTTCTTAACCTATGAGCCTACTTCTCACTATATATTTGAATCTCTTTTAAATGATTTAGGGTAGGTAGACGACGATAATCGAAAAAGCCAACGTTGGGAATTTAAAAAATAGCGCACATGTTATCTTAAAGCAGTGCAATTAAAAATACATTTACTTCACTTAGTGCTGAGACGTGTGTGTGCGAGCCTGCTGATTGAAGTTCCCAGTTGTCTTTCTAGTATTAACTATCAAGGGAGTCTTAAACCTGGCAGCACCCTGAGAATTTTTAAAACTACAGATGACTGGCTCTCAGTCCAGATAAATCAAACCGGGAAAGAGGGTGGCCTGGTTTTTAAGTTTCCCAGATAATTTTTAGTGTGCATTCTGAAAATCACTCAAGCAGTTCCATCATCTGTGATTTCCAGTTTTGGTTTCTTTAAAGTGAAGTAAAATTAGACACTTTTTTTTTTTAATTAGACACTTTTGAAGCAATCTAAGTGCAGAATGCTTTTGAGATTTTTAAGTCTCACCCCTAATTTTTTGCAGTTGCCCAACTCCTCATTCATCAGTTTTTAAATGCATGTTCTTCACTGTAGAATGCCTCTTCAAAGCATTTGTTTCGTTTTCATAGGAAAGGTTTTCATTTAGTATTTTTTCATTGGTTTAGGTGATGCTTAATTGCATTATTACATAGATACTAAAAAACATGGGGATAAGCAGTTTTGGAATCGCACAAAACTGTTCCAAGCACACAGTCAACTGAATGAAGCTGGCGATTTGGGTGCCCTAGAAGTAGCCTACTAACCCTTACTATTGAGGGCACTGTGGTTATTGATCGTGCAGTAACCAGTACTCCAGTAAGTCAGTTAAGCCAGACTCTTGCCCAGTTGAGCACTCTTCACTTCTCTCCAACTAATGCAACAAATACTCAATTCTCTTCTTAATCAGATTCTCCAGTCTTCCACTCTTTCCATTCACTTACATTCAGCTGCTCTTTCATCTTTTTTTTTTCGTTTTTTTAATTTTTTTTTAACATTTATTTATTGTGTGTGTGTATGTGTGTGTGTGTGGCCAGCTCAGCTCACCAGGGGGCGCGGCTGGCTGGCATGTGGTGCTGGGGGATTGAACCGCGGTCCCTGTGCTTTGCCAAGCTTGTTCCAAGTAGGTGCTTTAGACCACTGAGCTATCTCTCCAGCCCCTCTTTCATCTTTAAGTAATTACCACTATGGCTTCATTAAGATGGAAAGACAAGGTCTTACCCTGACAGTTTCTAACTTTTATCAGATTTTCAGAGAGGTTCAGGGTCCAAAAGGTTAAGTAGCATGTAAGTTAAACTTCATGAAAAGTCCTTAAGGGCCTTAATACTATACAATGAAAACACATTTCAAGCAATAATTCCGGATTTCTCTTGAATAAAGATGTAGAGAATTGAGCATCACACCTGTTTTCCATTTTGTCTTTTACTTTAACTATAAACCTAGGTTCAACTGGAGAACTCCAAAATCTTTTTCCTTGGCCTGAATAAAACTGAAACTAGAAATTTAAAACACCCAGTTCTTCACTGCCATCTGACCAGAATACAGAAAGCCCAAAGGAAGGGTGTTATATATTTTTTTCCTTCTCAGTACTCAGGATTGAACTCAGGGCCTTCACAGTTGAGCTACACTCCTAACCTTTTACATTTTGAGATAAGGTCTCACTAAATTGCTACAAAATTAGGGTCTTCCTGTCATAGCCTCCCATAGTGCTGGGATTACAGGTGTGTACCACTCACACTGCACCAGCTCTATTTTTTTTTTTTTTTTTTTCTTTTTTAATGTTTTTGAGACAGGGTCTCACCATGCAGTTCAGGTTGGCTTTGAGCTTACTTTGTAGCCCAGACTGGTCTGAAACTTGAGATGATCCTCCTACCTCAGCCTCCAAAGTGTTGGGATTACAGGCACACCCCACCATGCCTGGCTAACTCTATAATTGACTTTAGCAATAAAGCATAACTAGCTTACTTAGTAGGGATGCAAATAAAGTAATTATTCAGAATACAATCACTTCTGCCCTAGGAGTCCTCCGAATTGATTACCTTTCTCCACCTTAACATAAAATAAAGACACAAGAACACAGACACTATAGAATCTAAATTGTGGTTTTGGTTACAAGAAGGTCTGCCCTACTTGTTAATAATTTTCACAAGCCACTCTGGGTTGTAGTTTCCTCCTAGTTCAAAGCTATCTTCTTCCAGGGAAGTACCAGCTATACAGTTATGCCTTGATTTAAGCCACCATTCTCTTTTAGAAAAATTTCCATAACTTACATATGTATGTGAAAATGATTGTATACAGTATCCTAAGATGCTTCATTTGCCTTGTTACTCTGGAATCGCAAGGTGATGCTAGGAGAACTTGAAAGCTATCAGTCTATAGGCTTTTAGCTGTATCTGCTTTACTTTTTTTTTGGTCCGAATTCCTTCAGGGCAGGTTGGCTGGCTTGAGTTGTGGGGATCGAACCACAGCAACCTGAGCCTGACTGCTTTGTTGAAGCAGCCACTTAAAGAACTAAGCTAAGGGTCAGGCCCCCTTTTTTTTCTTTTTGAGACAGGATCTCACTATGCAGTTCAGGCTGGCCTTGTGCTAGCTTACTTTGTAACCCAGACTGGTCTTGAGCTTTCAACAATCCTGCCTCAGCCTCCTGAGTTCTGGGATGACAGTGTCTCATGGTTTTATGTCCTCATCTCATACTGGAACAGACTACTTCATTCTTTATGCCACATTTTCCTTATATTTAAAGAGTGAATTGTGTGTCCTTACAGAAAAGGACACAAAAGAGGTCAAGTAGATATCAAGCACTACCATCATAAAGTATTTCCTGCCTTGAGGTTGGTGGTGTTCCTGGGGCCCCACAGTTTCTAAGTGATGGTGTAGCTCCTGGCCATGAAGCAGTGGTCAGGATGAATCTGGAGGGAAAAGATGAAGCAATCATGTGGGCAATTCACGTAGCAAACAAAAAGGGTCCAAGTTATGGAAGCATGCCCTCCAAAGCTGTGATTTTCATACTTTTTAAACACGGCAAAATCCATTCTGAAATTGTATCCAAACCCTTAAATAAAGAAAATAAAAAACTTGAAATGATAGGGGCTGGGAATGTAGCCCAGTGGTAGAGCACTTGCCTAGAATAGGCGAGACCTTGGATTCCATCTCTGGCACTGCAGAAGAAAGATAATGTAAATTTTAAAAAATCATCAATACCCTAGTTTCCTCCACTGCTCGAATTAGGACTGCAAAAACATTGAAAAAAACTGATGTTAAAGGATTGTCTTGCCTCACTTTCCCCATAAAGAGGCACATTACCTTACGTGAGTCATCCATGAGGTGGAAGTAATGATAAAAACTGCTTTGTATTGAGCTGAGCCTTTACTTTGTTCTAGGCATAGTGTCAAGGTATTTTTACTTAGTCATAAATTTGCCAGATAGGCACCTGTTTTTTAGAAAATTAAGAGGGGTTAATTTTCATAAAGACAAATAACATTCATTCTAGAAAGTGGTAGAACTGCAATTAACCTCAAATCTGCCACACCCAACTTCCATCTCTAATGACTGCCTGTGCATTAATTCTTACCACACAGTAGATGTGTGGTAAAAATAATACAGTACATTCAGCAATCCACTCCCCTCTCCTCTTTGTGTGTCCTTGTTTAAGCCTGGCCTTGAACTCTCTTCCTGCCTCAGCCTCCTGAGTAGTGGGATTATAGGTGTGTGCCACTTACCAGGCAGCAGTCCTCATTTTTTTACCTGAAGAAACAGGCTCATGTAACTTCTGTACTTCTACTAATTTCATGTAGCTAGCTGGCAAATGGCAGAGCTAGGATTCACACTCAAAGTTGGTCTTATTGACTGAAAATTCATATTTCTGGGGCTATGGGTATAGCTCAGTGGTAGGACACCTAACAAGCTTGTGCAATGCTCTGGCTTCAATCCTTAGTGCTGCAAATAAATAAATATCCCTGATATTACAATGTTTGAACTTTACATATTTGAGTCTTAACATTAACAGATCAGAAGATTTATAAACAGTTGTAATCCCTTAAGAGTAAAGGGTAACAGGTGTTAAACGATCTCTAGTGCTCACATTGGAGCTGCATTAAAACTCAATAATGTTCTGGGAAATAACGAGCAGGTAGCATATTTCAGTTTGGAGGTTGTTCTTAGAGTCCCTCACCCCTAACCTGGGAACAGTGTTGTACTGAGTGGACTGCATGATCTGGTTGCAATTTATAATAAAGCTGTGCACCTGGCTTTGAGAGGAAAGCTGGGCTGCAAAGATAAGAGCTTCAGGCCTTTCACCCAGAGTGAGGGGGCTATTAACGTTTGAAGGAGCTCTTTGGGCTCCCTGGAGAGAGGCTGGGCTGTTAGAAAAGACAAAGCCTGGGGGAGGGGATAACCTTCGTTCTGAGGCTGACTTGGGAGAGGAAGCATTCTCCTGTCCACATGACCTATAAACCCGGGGGGTGGGCCCAATTTATCCCAGATCTTGGTATCTCGACCTGACAGATGGGTGGGTAGAGCCATCTCAATCGAATTTAGAGGTTGCAGTTACTATCATCTCCCTCCCCCCAACACACCGCCATGGAGAAGGGGGTAAAAGTGCTCTGGGATGGACAGAGGATGGTGCTGTCCTACCTTCCAGATACTTTTCCTAACTTACCTCCATAGTCTAGGGGTAATCCTATACTGTTTACTGCTCTTCTTGTCTTTTGTGGCTGTCTTTATTTTGTGGCTTTTATTACATGAATTTAGAGGGTGAAAATTGGGGATAGCTTCCACAAACAAGTTTGTTTGTTTGTTTTTGCAGAACCAGGGATTGAACTCAGGCTCTTGCGCTTGCCAGGGAGGCACTTATCCTCTGAGCCATCTCTCTAGCCCCTCACAAACAAGTTTGAATTTGAAAGCTAACGCCAGTTTAATTGAAAGGGATAATTTTCCCTTCTTAATCTGTGCATACAGGTTTTTTTCCCTTGGTAACAACCTTCACTAGTTAAAGTGACTTGAAATAACTTTTTGAAACTTACTTTTTTCATACAAAAATTAAGAATTATAGCAGGCTATGAGGACCTTGCAAGCTTTTGAAGACCATATGACAGCTGGGTGTGGTGATACACATCTATAATCCCAGCTACTCAGGAGGCTGAGATGGGAGAATACTTGAGCTCAGGAATTCAACACTAGCAACATTTTTTTTTCGGGGGGGGGCAACATTTTTAAACAGTAATAAAATGAACACCTTATAAGCAATATACCATGACTACTTTTAAAAGTACTTTTTTGGGGCTGGTGAGATGGCTCAGTGGTCTAAAGCACCTACTTAGAACAAGCTTAGCGAAGCCCAGGGACCATGGTTCAATCCCCCAGCACCACATGCCAGCCAGCCCCGCCCCCTGGTGGGCTGAGCTGGCCACACACACACACACACATAAATAAATAAAATTAAAAAAAAAAAAAGTACTTTTTTATGTATTTGGTATAGGGTCTATAGAGTCTCACTGTGTAGATGGGACTCAGTGATTCTCCTGTTTTCAGCCTCCCAAGTGCTGGGATTACAGATGCACGTCACCACGCCCAGTCTCAATTGCCATCTCAGCAGGGCCGGCACACCATGCCTGGGATAGAACCTTGGCCTGTGTCTGCCTAAGCAGGTACATTAGTCCACCGAGCTATGTGGCCAGCCCTAAAAGTACTTCCTACAATAGCATTATTCAAACATCCAACAATTTGTAGAAATTGTGTGTTGTGCCAGAAGAGGCACATGAATTGAGCTGTCTCTCTTCTTATTACAGCTGTCTCTGAAGGGCACAAATCAAGAGCCATGCCTCCTAGCAAAGAGGCCAGCAGTCTTCATAGCTCACCAGCAGGGCTCATTTGCCTCCCTCCAATCTCTGAGGAGCTGCAGCTGGTGTGGACCCAAGCAGCCCAGACCAGTGAGCTGGATAGCAATGAACACCTGCTGCAAACCTTCAGCTACTTTCCCTACCCCAGTCTAGCAGACATTGCCCTTCTCTGCCTACGTTATGGGCTGCAGATGGAGAAAGTCAAGACATGGTTCATGGCCCAGCGCCTCCGCTGTGGCATTAGCTGGTCATCTGAAGAAATAGAAGAGACTCGAGCTCGAGTGGTCTACCATCAGGACCAACTACATTTCAAATCTCTTCTGTCTTTTACTCATCATGCAGTGCGGCCCCCAGAGGAGGTACCGTCTTCTCAAATGCCACCCTCAGAACAAACTGGCCTTGGAATAGGTCCTCAGACTCCTAGTGAGCCCACCCAGATAAAAGGACTGAAGATAGAGCCTGAGGAGTCATCTCAGAATCTGCCTCTGCCATCAAGTCACCAGAAAAGAAAGGAACCTCTCTTGACACCTGGCAGTGGAGTATTCCCCCATCAAAAAGATTTTTGGCAGAATTGTCAAAGTAGTAGCCTTTCTAAGGAGCAGGCAGGCAGGGGTTCCAACCACTCACAAGATGTAGGTATAGCCTCCTGGAACCACTCCACAGCTGTTTCCCAGACATGCCCTCCGGACAAACCTCCACCAACCTCACTGGCCAGTAGTTGTAAAGAGAAGACTGCAACTGATGTAACTCTTCCTCCTTCCTCTACCTCTTCCTCTTTCCAGGTACTGGCTAATGGAGCAACTGCCAGCCCTAAACCTCTCCAGCACTTGGGCTGTGTCTCCCAGTCACTCTCACCCAGTAAACAGACACAACCTCCACCTATGGAAGCAAGCTGGTCCCAAAGATTACGGCCTAACTCACTAGCAGGTAGGGCCAGCCCCACAGGATACCTTTCCTCCGATATGCAACGCCAGCGAAAGATAAAGCGCAAAACCAAAGAGCAGTTGGCAATCCTCAAATCTTTTTTTCTACAGTGCCAATGGGCACGACGTGAGGATTACCATAAATTAGAACAGATCACGGGTTTACCTCGCCCTGAGATCATTCAGTGGTTTGGTGATACACGCTATGCTTTGAAGCATGGGCAACTAAAATGGTTTCGGGACAATGTAGTGCCTGGTGCCCCTAGTTTCCAAGACCCAGCAACTCCCACACCACCATCAACTCGCTCCTTGAAAGAATGGGCCAAAACACCACCGCCTCCAGCACCCCCACCTCCACAGGATATCCGGCCCTTGGAGAAGTACTGGGCTACCCACCATCAGCTCTGGGAAACAGATATCCCTCAGCTGTGTCAGGCCTCAAGGCTGAACACCCAGCAGGTTAGGAATTGGTTTGACACTCAGTTAAGTGAGCCAGCTGAGGTGGTTGTTTGTTTGGATGAAGAAGAGGAAGAGGAGGAGGAAGAACTGCCAGAAGATGGTGAGGAAGAGGAGGAGGAAGAAGAGGAGGAGGATGACTATGATGATGTGATTATACAGGACTGAAAGGGGGACTAAGGAAAGGGGAGGTTTGTTACTAAAGAATGAATGACTTAGTAACTGTCTAAACAAAGAAACCACATTTTTAAAGTTATTTTGTGGCAAAGAACCAAAAAGCTTTGTGTTTTTCAGGGTGGGTGATGGGGATGTAGTAAATTGAGGGTGGATGGGAGAGGATGACCAAAAGTCCTCGAGCCTTAAAAGTAGAGAGGGCTGAATATCTGACAATGAGCAAAGAAATGGCACTTGTTCTCCTTTTTTCTGGTATCCTCCCTTGGTGTACTAGAGGCCAGGCCTCATCCCCACAGAAAGGAGGAGTAAAGATTTGTGATTCAATTGATGGTTCTAGTACACCCTGATCCCATCATTTTCCCTGGATTCATCCCTCCCTTTCCTTCTGAGTGCAGTACATAACAGAGCTAAGATTCTCAATGGAACCTTAGCAGTGTGTCACGGATACTACTTGTTCTTCATACCAGTTAGATAATCTGTGACGGATCACTTGCTTAATCATTGAATCACAGATAGCACAGTGTTCTCATTTCTGATACTGGGACCACTTTGCTTCCTACTTTCTTATTGCTACAAATTCCCCTCTATGTTCACTGTCTCAGGGTAAATCTTCCTCACAGTGTACAAAAGTTTAGAAACTTTTAGTCGTGAATATTTAGTCGGGATATTTATTGGATTTGGGAGTTAGGGGAGATGTCCTTTACAAAAACTAGAATTACATTACAAAGTGATCAAGAAAGGACAGTTTCCTGGTCAAAGGGTGGTTGGTAGAAGCAGTACCAGGTTTGGTTTTACAAACCTGACAGTTCCTCCTGTCTAGCTTGACAGAATCTGATGTATCAGTTTTTTGATGTTTAATCTGTGACCAGAAAAGAGACTTTTCCCTCTTTATAGGATCTGTCTTGGGAACAGAGGGACAATGGTCTTGAACTGAATTAATGATTGATGTTTTAGAATGGTTTTCATCCATTGAGATTATAAAAACCAACATCAGTTAACCTTCTAAAAATAAGAGTGGAAACCCTGCATTCCTAGAATAATAATAAAAGGCCCCAAATTAATTTGTTTCTCTCTTTTCCACTTTGCCATTCTTATCATTTAGGAATGAAGTCAAATGCATTAATAGTGCTAATTTACAGGCTATGGTGTGGCTCAGTGGCATAGTGCTTGCCTAGCATATATGAAGCCCTGGGTTGGATTCCCAGCACCAATCAGAATTTTTTTCTGATGTGGTGTACTTTTTATTATTTGAAGGCTTTGTTGAGGTAACTTAAAAGAACAGAAACTGTAATGCAATAGGTCAGCATCTGTCACCACACAGTTTTCCAGAAGTCATACAACAATAATTAAAATTTCTGAAGCTTCAGCAGAAGCTTGTAGGTAAATCCATTTGCTCATCCCACCATGTAGTTTTTAATAGTAGCAGGTGCAGCAATCATAAAGGGGCATATTGTAGTAAACTGAAAATCTGTATTTCCAAATATTTCTAGCAAAGGAAAATCAACATATTTAACAGTAACAAGGCACACAGGAAACAATAGATAAATAGGAAAAGTATAATAAATTAGGACAAGGAACAGAGAGCTGCTGTTTGCTAACATTGGTAATGGGATAGTATATCCAAAGTTAAAGAATGAAATCTAGAAACGAAAGAAGCTGGTGAATACATTATCCAGTCTCCCAAAGTATGATGCTAAGAATTATTCTTACAACTTTGGTTTCATATTGTAGGATATGAAAGAAGCTACATATGTCTTCAGGGGGAGAGAAGCATCTTCCTGAAGCACTAGCCTTAAGGAAGACCTGGTGGGTATGATAAAGCTACAGAATGAGACCAGGAGACAAAATAGAGGTCCATTTCCAAGGCCATCTCCCTGGATCAGCATTGGATGCTACAGTCAGATTTCAGTAGTATGTATAAATCAGACCTTGGTGGTGGTCTATCTGGAAGTGGTGTAGGCTTCTCTCTCCCTGGCTGATGCCATTTGTCTCTGTTGGTAAAGAGTCTGCAACAGAGAACAGGAATGCAGATTTGTTTCTAACAAAAAAAGGTTAGTAAGATCCATGCAAGCCATTATATGAAGTTTATCAGAACATAACCATGGTTGCTTTCCCATTTTTTCCTACTGTATAATAATTACAGATACAGACTTCACATATCTTGTGTGACAAGGCTAGTTGCTGCTTACAAAGCTCTGAAATAGTTCAGTGGCTAAGGATGATGTGACAATAATACTTGAAAATCAAACTATTTTGGAAGATCTAAAATATGTGATTATGCAGAGTTAATTGCCAGGGAAGCCGAATACTTAATGCCTCAAAGGAGGTGGTACTTTCTTCAATAATTTTTTAAAAAAGGCTGACTATAATAATGAACTCATATACCCATCACCCAACTTCTAACAACTCATGGCCAATTCTCTATCTCTACTTTCCATTGATTCTATCTACTAAATTATACTAAGGTAACATCCATGTATCATTAACTTTCCATTTATAAAATTTTATATGCATCTACAAAGTATAAAAAGTAGTATCATGCCTAAAAAATGTCTAATGTGAAAAATTCTTTAATGTCAAATGTCTTGGGCTGGGTCCCAAGTTTGATCTCTGGTACTGCCACAAAAACAAAACAAAACAAAACAAAAACCTCAAATGTCTAACGGTATTTATTCTTCAATCAGATTTTATTGGTACATTTTAGCTATATATAATGATCACATTCATCAGAGAGAATTTGTACCTGTACATGATATAACTTGATTTATGCCCTTTCCCCTACTCTCCCTTTAGAGCCAGTCCCCACCCCCCAAAAAAATCTATTCCTACTCTCCCTTTAGTCCTTCCTCCCCTTCCCATTTACAGAAGCTTTATTTCCATTTTTCCTTTTCTCATCTTTTACTTTTCCTTTCTTTCCTTTTCTCTCTCATTCCCAGCCACTCTCCTCTCTTGTTTCCCTCCTGATTTGAACATTTTCATTTCAAAATACCTAATACACTTTTGGTCCTTACTTACATTTTTAGTTTCTCACACCAGAGAAACAATATGATATTTACACACAGGCATCTGATTTATTTCACTTAAAGAGTATGATCTCAAGGTGCATCCATTTACCTAGAAATGTCTCAAGCTTATTCTTTATAGCAGAGTAGTACTCTG